TGTTTCTGGGGTGACAGACAAGATTTTTTTATCAATTTAGTCTAGAGTTTGGAACTAAGGGTCACTAGTATGTCCTATAGGGAGGGCATAGTAGGTAATCTAGAAGTGAGAGACTAGAACCTACTCAGCACTACTATACATGTCGGCACCATCCTTAGATTAGCCAACATTCTTTACACATCAAAAGAAGAAAAGAATAGGTATGCTCCAATTTGTCACAATACTACAATTAAACTTTTAAACAATTCAAATCCTACTCTGATTATGAATTATTTGCAAGGATAGTCTCTTTATATACATATATAAATCATAGCATTTACTTCTACTTGCATTTGTAGGAATTAGTAAACTTTATTTCTTCACCTGAACTATTTTAGATATTTTCTGCAGTCTTAAGTAAAATTCTTTTAAAGTTAAATTCCTGAATTTCTTTTTTTTTCTTTCCTACGGGATTGATATTGGGTTTTTAAAGAAAGTCCTATATTACTTGAAACGTCACGTATATTTGCGTAGTGCCCCTAGTGAGAAAACTATTAATCTAAATTTTATAATATTACATTTGTTCTCACTAGCCGCTAAATATAAATTTGGTCAAGTTTTTTGTCTTCTTTTGGAATATTAAATCGCATAATTGCGAGTCGAGTCACTTGTCACCCTAGTAACATCAATTCTACGCCCATCAAATCTTATTTTCCTATTTATTTGCACTCCCCCCTCAGGCGATCGCTATGGCTCTTTCTGAAGTGAAATGTTGTACTCACTAGTTAAATAAATCTAAGCTCTCTTGGGTGTATAAGTTTCTCAACCAATTTTAACCAAACAAATGAATAGTTTGCAAAGTAAATGAAGATCCAGTGAAAATACCATAAAAAATTTATGGAATAAAAAGAAGTTCTAAACAAATCAAATCCACCGCAAAATTACTTCTTATTGTAAGGAGAAAGAGGAAAACTTCCCATAATTCATGGTGATATAAAAACAAAACATATTTATAAAAATTAAATCCAACATACAAAAGAAAAGATACAAAAACTTATCTTAAATGTTTCCCCAAGCACAACTTTCAAGTTCCCTGACTTCGCTGACTCCACAAGACTCTTACAAGACTCACAATACTCCAGAAATCACAAAGACTCACTAAGGTGGTCGCCCACTCTAGATGGGATCCTCCCTCTCTCAAAACGACTCCAAGACTCCTCTATTTCATCCAAATTAATTTCAATATATAGAGCTTCAAAAATCACCAAGAGTTGCTTCAGACACTTTTTAAAAATTTATCTAAATTCAATAAATATAAGTGTAACCATTTCTGATGACTAGGCGCCAGCCTCGATTTCCATCTGGCACCTAGCCGCCAGCTCGGATGTTTTTGACAATAAACTTGATTATGCCCATTTTTCTTCTTTTTGATATATTTTTGCTCTTTTTTGCTCTTAAATTCTTTTTCTTACACCTGCAAAGAAAAACACAAAAATATCTTTCATTAAAATATAATATTCTTAAAAACAGGTATAAAATGTACATTTAAAATAGGTAATTTTAAGGCGCATCAGTGGTCACACCCGAACTTGATTTGGTCACACCAGCATTGTGATCAGGTAGTATGGTTACGCTGCTACCTTCGATACAGCGACATGGTCACGGCCATTTCAAGTGTGGTCATGCCAATTATGCCATATCAAATTTGGTTTTTTTTTTAATTTTGAAATTTACGCTCAATCTCTTATAACCTGCACATCACCAATAAAAATCTTTCACAAGCGTAAATCCATAATAATTAAAGCAAAATAATAAGTAAAAAGTTGGGTTATATGCAACAAAAATTGTGCAATATTAACTCATGTCAACATGCTATTTATATATTTCTCCAAAGTTATGGAGGGGAAAACTATGTCTCATATTTATCGCGTTCTAAGTTATCAAACTATAGCCTCCATTTAGAGTATCTTGACATCACCCTCAACTTTACAATTCTTAAGGCTGCTTAGTGTCATAAGACGATGGAAAAAATGCTCTCCTAGCTAAATGGTTGGAAAAAATCATTTTTTAGTTTCGCTAGCAAACTTCAAATTATCAATATTTCTATATGGAGCTACATTCACCATTAGTTCATATTAAGTATTATTCCAAAAAATAGAAAAAAAATCGCTTCATTGATCAATAACTTCCTGCATTATAATGGGCCTAATAACAAGGTGCATGTAATCCCCCGAGGGACTACTATTAATAAAAAAAGTTGTGATAACTTATGACTCCCTACTACTTAGTAAACCTTATGTGTAAATCAAAAATCATCTTGAGGCTTTACAATATAAAGACTTATATTGCCTCTTGGTGCCTTAATCTATGTGGTTCATTTTGGTTCAAAAGGAAAAAAAAATCTTTTCTTTTTTCAAACCCACTCATTTAAGAAGCTTAAAATATCAAATGGGGCCTTTTTCTTCTATTAATCATAATAATAACATGGTCTTTTTTCTTTTTATTATTAGCTAGATGATACTTTTCTCTGTGAAAATTTTGATAGCTCTATTTTTTATATGTTCTTTTGTTTTATTTATATCAACTCCTTATGCATGATTGTTAATCATTCATGGTCACTACCTTTCGACAATTTCATTCAACCCAAAACAAAATTTATGTCTAGTATTCTCTTATTAATTGCTTGTAGATGGGCAAAGATACATATTCTTAGAAAGATATCTAATATTTTATATATGATGATAAAAAAAAATAAGATCAGTTGTATGGTTTAAAGGTCACTTCTTTCAATATGTTGTCATTTCGTGGAAGATTTTCATTGGAGGTTTGAAAATAAAATAAAAAAGTTATAATTCAAGGTTTATAGGTCAACTCTAGTGCATATTTTGTTGCTCTCTTCCAAAAACTCATTTACACTTGTTTTTAGTGCCCCCCTTTTTCTATAAATTATTTATTATAGTATACCTCATGTCCCTTTCTTTCATTTAGGTTGAATTTTTTTCAAGTGCTGATTCATCGTGATACTATCACTCTCAAATTTTTAAAAAAAGTATTTCTTCTTACACTTTATATTGTGGGTCACTCTATTTGGTATGAAATAAATTACAAAATTTTTTAGTGTGGCATTTCTCTATTTAATATTGTTTGAGCAAAATTCACTTTGCAATCAAGCAATAAAACCATAAGTGGGAATATTAAGGATGAGACTCCTCATTTTATACATAGTTTTTATTTGTGATAAGACCTTTAATTTTGACATGGTGTATTGTCTATGAGTGTTACTTTAATTCCAGTGTTTTGTACTCGTGCTCTTTCTCAATTGCCTAATTTTGATTTTGACTAAGCCTTTATCTAATTTGGCGGGCTCAAGTTTTATTTATTATGCTTTTTATGGATGCTATGGTTGAACATTATATTTGTTATAGTGGCAATTAGATTCTCTTTTTAGTGTTTTAGACTTTTTGGTGAGCCATGATGATGTCTATATACTACACTTTGGCTTCATTCGGTTTTTTAACTAGATCCTCCGAATTTTCTACTATGATTTGATAATTTTTTTTGGATTGTTGTAATTAATCAATTGGGATAATTTTTGTTCAGTGGTAAAACCACTTTCTTTTATTTTTTTTGTCCACCCTAAAATATCCTCTCTTACAATTGTTTGCTTTACACATTTGTGATGGAAATCTCTACCTATTTGCTATGTGAAGTTTTTTTTTTGTTATCTGTTATTGGCACTACTCCTATCTGTGGCTGTTCATTATTTATTGTCGCTCTAATGATGTTATGATGATCATGGCTCCTTTGCAGATTATCAAAATATAGTTCCTTAACTCTAAACATAGTCTCTATTTGATAAACAAACGCTCATAATTTGTCACATTTTTCATTTTTCTACTTATAGCTTGTTTCTTTTATTTGTGATATTTTTCTTTCAAATTATTTATAAATATCGTTTTTTATTAATGTTATATTAAGCGTGACTCAACTTTTCAGAAAAAATCCTAAAATTAAGATGTATTTAATATTTAAAATATTATTAATGATGATATTTTTGATGTGATGTTACAATTTTAAGTGCTATGTATATAAATATGAAATTTAGGCCCTAGATGTGTAATTACATAAGAATTGCTTGGTATATTTGCAAAGGGCATAGTCCCACAACCAACACAACTAGATAATTACGCTTTTATGTCTTATTGCTAATTTCGACCCGAATCGTGCTGCTCCCGAAGAGATTCATTTGAGTTGCTTCTCTTCTTTCTTGGGAGTTGTTTCGTAGGATACTTTAAATATGATTTAAATTAGATTTAACTTAAATCTAGCTAAAAATTATAAGTAAGTTAGATAAATCTATCGTTAAGTTAAATTCAATTGTTGATTATTCCTTGTATTAAATTAAAATTTACTAAATCTAGCTACTAGTTAGATTTAACATATTTAGTGCAAGAAAATATTATCTCAAATAGATTTATGCCGAACAACTCAAATAAATTTAACTGGATTTATTAAATCAAATATTACTTTAAATTTAATGTTATTTGGGATTTACTCAATCTTACTTTATCTTAAATCCTCCCTGTATCCAAACACCCTCTTCGAGTCGGAAAAATTTTTTATCCGGACTCCTAACGTAGCTCTACGTGCATACTCCGATAACATGCCACCATGTATGCTACATTGCGAAGATTATTTCGTGATTATTTAAGTGGATCCGCGAATGTTATTTCAGGATTATTTTTGTGTTATTTTAGGGTTTTCGAAGAGAACCCATATATTTAACTTTAATAACCTAGAAATAACCCAAAATAACCTCCGCTGTTCCACTAAAAACTCATAAATAAACCTGAAATAACTCTGCAGTATTAATCCGATAATCTTGAAATAACCTCCAGAGTGTTATTTCGAGGATGACATTTCGGAGTTATTAAAATGAAACAAATGAAATTATTTAGAGGTAATTTCTGGTTTAACTTTAATTTTTTTTTTAGCTAAGCTGGTATATTACCCCGACTCTTCCGTGCATAACATTTTTCGCTTGGTCACAGAGCGTATCGTGATGAGCAAAAACACTATGCTTCATAAGAAACCCTAACCATAGATATCGCCGGCGACACTTTATGGATGCAAAGGACATACTCGGCCTCCCGAAGTCATTCCCCGGTACACAGGAGAAGAAGCCTCGGCCTCTGAAAGAGCCTCAGAGAAAGCCGGATGGCATATCACGCGAGGTATGATTTGTTTCGTATAAATTTTTTTTAAATTTGTTGAGAGGAGAACTCATTTCTTGCTCTTTGCATATATTCTATTTCTTATTATTCTACATTCACTCGTCATTAATCTTGATGACTTCCGTTTGGGAAGGTTTACGCGCTCACTGGGGGAATGGCGCCTCTCATGCCGACGATAGAGGTTTCTCACTTGAAGCGGAGATCGGTTGCGGATAAGGAGAATGTATGCAATCCGCTTGCTATCAACTATATTATTTTCTCAGTTTTTTTTGTTTTTTTTATTTTTTTTGTTTTTTTTATTTTTTTTGTTTTTTAAGTTCAACTTAACTGATAGTTTAACCCTCCATCTTATATTCTTTAGAAAACTAGGGAGTATTTTTGTTATGAGGCTAACGAATTAGAAATTTAAATTGTAATTTTGTTGAAGGTGGTTCAGTTTTTTTATTGTTTGGTTGGGAATTTGGGCGAATTATATTTGCTGTATAGACTGAGAGAAAGAAAGATGTTCGTATAGAAAGCCATAGAATATTAGTTATATATTTACTAGTTAAAAAGTTGATTGCTAAAAATGGAAGCCCTACTTTCTTTACTTGAATTCCTTACTGTACTTGAAATGAAAGCAGAAGTACTCTATAGATTCGTGACTTCTCAATGCACCATCTTTTTGTATTACTCAATATTAAGCCATTGAACCTCATTGTCTGTCACTCTCCTCTGCCTGGATACTGGATGTAATAATCAAACTTTTTGTAATTTGCTTTGTTTGTTGTGCGTCCTTAGTAATGCTACGATAGAGTGGGATCCACATTTTGTATTAACTTTTGCATGCCACCCATCTTTTTTTCCTAAAATCTATGCATAATGCACACGAGCACTCAAAATTTTGTTGCATTCTAAGTCCAGTGTATTGAGAAAAGTGCACTATAGTGTAGTAAGTCCCTACAACCATTGTTTTTGTTTTTGTTTTAAAATATTAACACTTTAACAAGTATGATTGCACAGTACTCATATTCAACGACTAAATTATACTTGGTCAATTCACCAGTAAGGTCCCGTGGCTGATAAATTACCACTATAGTGCAATATATAATTAGAGTAATATAACATCACCACAACAGTTAAAGTTAGACACACCAATATTGTCGGACACAATAAGTAAGTCATGATATGTGAAAGCATATCATATAGAAGAACTGGACACGGATTGGTGAATTGAGCATTTGGAAGTACAATTCTTATGTGTTATTGCATTAGTTTGAAATATTTAAATAAAATATAAAAATTATTGCGCCTATTTGATAGTTAATGAAACTTAATGTGGATTGATTATGTTGTTATCCATATGGTTTTCCATGCTAAATGACAAGAGAAAATGTACCTTTCTTATGTTTCACTGTAGAATAAAGCAGTATAATTGGATACTTTTGGCTCCTTTGTTGGCTATGGAAGTAAGGTGCAACTCTTGTTATAAAAGTGTTGCCGATGGAAGTTTTTTTTTATTGTCGCAACTTCATATCCTTATGTAAGTAGACGCCTAAAATTGAAGTATCCCAACCAAGCACAACCGGATAGCCAAAGTGGTTTGCAATATCTACTTTGATAACTCTATAACCTTAAGAGAAGTGACCTTTTATGCTCTTACTTTCACAAATAGGAACTTCTGCTGCCTTTCATTTCTAGACTCTGTATAGGCCTTGAGCTTGGAAAAAATGATTAATATCTTTTCATGTAGCCTGCTTTTTTGTTAAACTAATTTGCCACCATCATTGATAGTTGCTGTATTATGATCACTTAAAGACTCATCTCAACCTTAAAATTTCCTATTTAAGTCGCAGGACCTTCAATCTTATGACCCTTTGGTAAAAGATCGACCTTAAGTTCAGGCCTATTATCAAAATGTAGTAGTTTTTTTAAGGAGATGGTGGATGATGTTATTGCTTCTGTCAGGTGTTGATCACTTCATTTATTGTTGAAATTATTATCAAGAGTTCTGTCTAAGTTGTTGAAACACCTCAATTTCTTCCCATTGGCGAACAAAGCATTTAAGGGTTGGAATTGCTGCCCATTCCCTCTCTCAATTTCTTATTCTACTCCCTTCTATAGAGGGAACTCCCGCGTCTTCTATTTTTTGCTTTTTTCTATTCCCTTCATTTCCTATTTCTCTTACTTTCCTATTTCTCATCCTTGTCTATTTCTCTTCCTTTTGTATTTTTTTTCCTTTCCCTTTCTATGCCTTCCTATTCCATCCCTTTCTGTTCCTTTTACCTTCTATTTCCATCTACTATTATCTATTATATATATATATATATGCTGATTTGCTTGCATTAGAAGATATGCTGTTCCTTTATTTGTCTATAATTTCAGTTTGCTGCCTCTATGCAGTTTTTCCCTTCCTAGGGCTGTTTCTGATGGCAAGAAGGTGCTACGGATATAACTCTTTTGAGGTGGTGAATATATACGCTCCTTCCATCTCTTCCGGCTGCTGTCCAACCCACCACAAACTATTCATGCTGCTGTCCAGTCTCCCGCGATCCCTTCCGATTGTTGTCCAGTCCATTGCAATCCATTTATGCTGCTGAGCAGTCCCCCAACAAACTTTTCCTGCTGCTGTCCAGGTCACTGCAATCCTCCAGAGCTACCGCCATTTGCCTTCAACACTTTCCAGTCTACCACCATTCCCTCGGATTCACCCCACCTTTGTTGCACCCACCTCCAGCCCCTTCAAGATTTGTTGTTCTCACTTTGTGCTGTTTTTATTCTTATTTGTAGAGTCGTGTAACTTGAACATTTGTGTGTTTGTGCTGTTTTATGTTGAATGAGTCATTGTTGTACTTTTGAATTCAACAATAAATATTTCCGTTATATCATGGTTTGGATTAAACCCTGATATCATTTGGTATTAGAGACATCTCAACCATAGCCCTATACTAAGGTTTCCTAGCATCTGCTCCCCTCCACCAAAAGAAATGTTTTCCTTATTCCCAAATTATAGATAAATTTTGACTTGAACCTAATTTTCATTTGTTGATTTTCAAAATGAGCAACCCTAAATAATTTTTTTGACACCGTCAATTAGACTTATACATCTTCTTTCACCTTCCTACCCTAAACCCTAGCCATGCCATGAAGAAGATACATGCCCGGGTCTACCTGGGAAGAGATATAGTAGGAGATCCGTCGACTTTAGCAGAGGCTTGCGAATATTGAATATGAAAACCAGGGGGAGATAATCCTCGACCGTGATCTGGAGAGTCAAAGAGGCGAAAGAGATGTTAAATTTTAACCCCTTCCTAGGGAGGATTTCAATGAAGAAGAAAGGCCACAACACTTTGGAATCCAATATCAGCGGAGGCCACATATGAAGAACGCGAGAATCAGAAGATGAAGCAAGAGAGACAACGCCAGTTCCTACCAACTTACTATAAACAAATGTGCTGACTCTAGCTTCAGAAGGAGAGAGAATGCATCACCTAGCAATCACCCCTCTTACAGGCAAAATTCAACCTCAAAGCCTTACAACCAGAGTACACCCAGGAGAATACCCAAGACGACTCCGTCAAAGGAAAAGCTGATTCAGAGTGACGAATAAGCGGAATCAATCCACATTCCTAAATCTATCACAACCAAGAAGTGTTATAAGTGCCACAGATTTGAACATAGTGAATCAAATTGTACAACCAGGAATTTGATTGCTTTCATTGATCACAGAGCAGTTAAAGAACTAAACTATGATTCAGTAGATGAAAACTTTAGATAGGATTTTCAATTTTCAGCCAACGAGGAAAAAATCATCCATTCCAATTGTCTCCAAGATAGAGATTCCGGCTGAGGTAACAATAGCTGTCTTAGAAGGTATGAACTTTGTTGTAATGGGCGCTTCGACTAAGGGTCTGTTTGGGACAGCTGCAATTTATTGAATAATCTGCTGATAAGCTGATTAAAAATAATCTGCTGATAAGCTGGGTGTGGTAGTTATTACAAATTTTTATTTTTTTGGAAAAGCCAGACCGCAACCAGAAATCTGCCACCGCACCTAGACAGGTGCGGTGTGAAAACGCTGTTTTCAGCGTTTTGAAAACATATAAGCTGTGAAAACGCAGTTCACCCAAACAGGTCAAGTGCGTTTTCAAAACGCCACCGCACCAAATAAGCTGCCCCAAACGGACCCTAAGTATGAGATTGTGATGCCTAGAGCTAGCATTTTGCAGGCATTGAGCCATTAGACGTAATGACCTTGGATGTCAAAATGGGCTATGAGTTTGAGGAGCTGATATCCGACACAGGAAAACACGAGATAAGAGAATTCAAACCTATTAGATCTATAAAATTATCCTTGAGTTGCCCCTACTAAGGAAGGTCGAACATATCAGAAATGAGACTTTTTTGTGCTACGATAGGAAAATTACACGGAGCTATTCCGATGTTAGATTGAATTCAATATGATACCCATCATCAGATGCTCCAGGAGGAATGAAACCCCCCAACTTTGAAATTATTCTTAGGAGTTTAATGGGGGAAAAAAATTTTAGTGAGATCCATTTCCTATAAGTGAAGAAGATGTCTCTTCAGAATGATTGCTAGTGAGAATGGTGCAACCTGACACAGGCCCACCTTGGAGTTGATCTCACCTCACATATTGGTTTATCAACTACATTTGCTAAGTGCAGGAAGTGGAAGAAGAATGTTCTAAATTTAAGTGCGCAAGGGTTACATTTTGGGAACCTACATCTATATAGAACCCCAACTCAGGACGACCAAGAGGTACATATTTATTCTATCAAGATATGCTGTGGAATGACAACACCTAAATGATCAACCTATCAGGAGACTACACTATCTCTGCTAACTTTAATGTGGTAGACTTGACACGGTACTTCGAGGAGCCAAAAACTCCGACAAACGAAGTCGAAGCTCTCCCAAACTTAAGAGATTGACCCGGAACTTGCTGGGTGATTGACTGAACCGGCCGACCTTCATAAGAGCAGGAATTTTTGCCCCTTCCCTCTCCCAATTTCCTATTCTACTCCTTTCCGTAGAGGGAACTCTTTCTTCAATTCCATGCTCTTTTCTATTCCTTTCATTTTCTATTTCTTTTTTATTTCGTATTACAGTCCTTGTCTATTTCTCTTCCTTTACAATTTCTAGTTTTTGTCTATTTCTCTTCATTTCCTATTTCTCTTCCTTTCCCTTTCTATTTCTTCCTATTCCATCTCTTTCCTTTCCTATTACCTTATATTTCTATCTACTATCATTTATTATATATATGTTGATCTGCTTGCAATTAGAGGGGGTCTTGATTTGTCTCTAATTTCAATTTGTTGCCTCTAAGAAGTTTTTCCTCACCTAGGGATGTATCCGACGACGATAAAGTATTCCAGTTATATCAGACGGCGAGAAGGTGGCCCCCAACTGCAACTTTTCTGAGGTGGTGATTATCTATGCTCGTTCTATCTCTTCCGGCTATTTTGCAGTTCACAACTAACTTCTTTCTGCTTTCCAGTTGCCCGTGATCCCTTCTAGCTGCTGTCAGTCCTTAGACCATCTTCCAACTGCTGTGCAGTTCACTGTCCATCATCCAATACCTTCCAGCTTGTTGCCATTCCCTCCGGTTCACCCAAACACTGACGTACCCACCTCCAGCCTCTTCTAGACCCACCGTTCTCACTCTAGAGGGCTGTTTGTGTTGTTTTTATTCTTATTTTGTAGAGTTGTCGTTGTAACTTGACCGTTTGTGTGTTTGTGTTGTTTTATGTTGAAGAGTCATCATTGCACTTTTGAATTCAACAATAAATATTTCTGTTTTGTTGTGGTTTGGGTTAACTCCAATATCACATGATCTATGAGTAGCTAGCAACACTAAATACACTAACTTCAACTGACTTTTTAGTGTTCTTTACTTCCATGTTATATTGAGTCAACTGACTTTCATATCAGTACCCCATTTTTACAATGCACTTGGCTACAAGGCCTCACAAATATTATTGCTTTTCATATTAGTGCCCATGTATAGTTGTTTTTGGCATTTAGCATTGCCCAAAATTTGAAAATTTTGAAGAGGGCTTCCAAACGAGCCATTGCATTCTCAAAGGAGTTTTCTCAGCATGGATTAACTATGGGTTTGTGTGGTTTTACATCATTCTTGTTTTAGGTCCATTAAAGGTGTGATTTTTTTAATTAGCGCATTTACCAAGTGAAAATTAAAATGCTTTGAAATTCAGGATATTCCATTTTGAACTTCGCTTATTCATATAGATCTTTCATAACACGAGTAATTGATAAATTTGTCATAATAGTAGTTATGAATTTTATGAATAAATAATTCATTTTCTAAAAGGCAAAACACCCATCAAAAAGTGATCAGACAAACTCTAATTTGTGAAAACCAACGACGAAGATGGCTTTCTTTTTTTTATTGATTTTTCCTTATCATTTTAGGAACAATATTTTTGCAGGTGTGGTTTTTATCATTTATTAATTGGACCCTATTAGCATGTTTTTTTAGTATGGTTTACCCAATTGGTGTTTTATGAGGGTATCTAAAAGATCTAAGCTGTTTATTTTTTTCCCTAGCTTGTCTTTTCATGTGATTTAAACAGCATTTAATTATAATGTCTTAGTATGGAATGCTTCTACCCGCCTTACTGATTCCCTATTACTGTAATCTATGTACTACGCAGATTACATGGCAATGGCTTCCATTCACCAACTCTGCACGTTCTGATAACTTACAATTGTATCACTGGGTAGTTTTCATTTCTTGTTAATTACTGCCTCCTTTCATGCATCACATCTCTAACATAGAGCTAATCTTTCTCAGGTGAGGGTGGTCAATGGGATTCCTCCTACTGGTGATTATCAATTTGCTAAATACAACAAGGTGAGCTATTACAAAACTTTCATCTCGTTCATTTACAAGTTTTAATCTTTTCAATGGATATTTTTACAAACTGCAAGCTCAGTATATTCCAACGACGCAACATTGTATTTTCTTACTTTTCATTGTGATGTTGATGCAGTCAATCGATGTTGTGAAGTATACGGATGAGGAATACGAAAAGTATCTTACTGATTCTGTATGTACTAGGTACAATATGGTTTATTTGCATTTTAATTGTTCTTGTCCATTTTGAGGTCTATATTTTATGTTTCTTATTGCTTAATCTTTGCTTGACATTTTAAATTTGTTTTTAATGAAAAATTTATTGTTGCTGTTCATCCTTTGGTCTTTTAGTTTGATTTAGTAAATTAGGAGAATAAAATGGAAACTTTAGTAAACGTTCAGTGTATAATCTCAATTCAAAAGTTTATTGCCTGCTGTGAAGCAATTGAGCGCTAAGATTTGGAATTATGACTTTGGAATTATGATTATGAAATATATTACTTCTCTTGTTTGGTGTGTTTAAGCTTATTTTTAGTGTTGGAAATTATATATTAGGGAAGCTCAATTCCCAAACCTCTTTAATAAGGATTCAGCTTTGAGAACATGCAGATTTTTGTTATATTTTTAATGAGCAATGACTTCTGCACTCGCACACACTGTATCTGGAAATAATGTTTTTATCATGATTATCACTCAATGATACTCTTTTTTGTTCCTGCTAAGGCTTTGCCCTCTAAGATCTTGGTCCGTTTTTTATTTTATTTCTTACTATTTCCTTATCTAAGTAGGTTTTTTGTTCGATGATAGATGGGTAGTTTGATCTCCATTCTAACTTATGTTTGTGCTATAATGTATTTTGTTATAAAATTGTCAGTTATAGCAGTGGTTGTAGTCATATTATTTTGGAATGTTAGTTTATGTTTGGATGATAAGCATGGCCGGCTTTCAATAGTCCTTATTTGACTAAGAGTGAATATGGTGAATTACATTTTAAATTTTACTTGGCTTAAATATCGACTGAGGATCTTGTCAACTTTGACACTGGGGGTAATTCTGATATTTAATACGATTAATTGCTGTATTTTCACGGCCATTCCTTTGAGATTGACCATAGTATTTATATTATGGGGCTTTTTTGTATGCACGACCCAATTCCCATGTATTCACGTATCAGACTCCTAAACTTCAATTTTAACATCCAGGCCACCCCCGTCCCTTGCTTTTGGCTATAGGTTGTGCGGCCTGGATATAAAATTGAAGTTTAGGGGTCTGATATGTGAATACGTGGGAATTGTGTGGCACGGAGGTAAATTTCCCTTATATTATGTATGGTCTGATGTTTGTGCATCTTTAACTACATAACACTTATGTGATGTATTTTGAGAGCCGTAATGTGGAAATTAGCATTACAAAAATGTCTTGTTGCAACTCATTTATTTATTTATATCTATCAATTCATTTAATGTAAGACAACTATTCGATCTTGCTTTTTGAATCCTGATAAGAATTTACTATTTACTGGCCAAAGGCGGTGATTTTCATCTTCTGAGATTAGGGAAGTCTTAATACTGTGCTGGTCCTACTTGCAAACTTTATGAATTTTTCTTCTTATTTATTGTAACTAGCATTTTTTGATATCACATTATAAATTATGTACATATTTAAGCAGTTGATAGCTAGCTCATTCTCATGCATACATAAAAACTTGGTTGTGTTGGCCTTTAACCGTTGTTGTCTTTTTAATTTTGTTATTTTCTAAAGAAAATATGGTAAGATTACATGATTAAGTCTTTAGTATCTGTTGTCACAAAGTTCTTTTGCTCTTTTGTGATTGATGTTCTCATGATATTCGGGAATATTTGTGACCTTTTTGTTTTTGTTGGTCTAAATGTTTACTTTATCAATTTTCCAGATGTGGACTAAGGAGGAAACTGATCAATTGTTTGAAATGTGTGAACGGTTTGATCTTCGCTTCATAGTAATAGCTGATAGATTCCCTTCTTCTCGAACTGTGGAGGAACTTAAGGGTCGCTACTACTCTGGTACTTCTGATAAAGATCTTTGCTAGATATTAGATACTCTAGATTGGGGTTGGATACCTATTTTTGGACATATTAAACCATGTTATTTTGCAAATCATCAAATATCTGGCTTTTTTGGTTCTCTGGAGCCAGCTGTTTCATTAAAAATTTATTTGACATATATAAATCATTGTTCGAGTTTTTTATGTATTCTGTTGGGTTGATATCATGACTTTTGAGTGTTATTTTAACTAGTAAAGGTTCATTGATGGTTTTGATAAATGAAAGCTATTTAGTTTTTTTCTAAATGATATGTTAGATTTCCTGTGTCAATTTTTGGGCAAAGTTTCTTTTTTGAGTTTTTTTTTTTTAAAACTCGCAAAAACTCGCACAGACACTTGTAGCACTTGTAGATGATGGGCTTTAAACTAAAGTCCTTATAGTTGAGTAAAGTACTTAACCATTAGGCTAAGTGAGTTGCACACTTTAGCTTTAAGATTCCTTATATCTGTATAATTTTATTATTTGAAGCTTTGAAAGAACCATTTTTTTAACATGTATAATATTCCATTTCTTGGTTTCTATTAGCTAAAACCACTTTGAATTTTTTGTGCCTACTTGAATTCAGATAAATGCAAGGATATATATCTCGATTATAGCTAACCTTGGTAGTCATGCCTGACCTTCACATAACCCGTGCATTTCTGCTAAGGTTACCCCTAAACCCAAGCATAGGGCTGTCAAAAAAGCTCGGTGTTCGCGAACAAGTCATATTCAGTTCATCAATGAATTTGTGTTCGATTCGTTCGATAAGTAAACGAGACGAACTTGAATAATTTTTTTTTTTCCGGTTAGTTAAATGAACCCAACACGAATAATGATGCATTCGTTCTTGTTCGAATCATTATTGTTCGAAATATAAAATAATTTAAAATAATTATATATAAAAAATTTATGATATTTAAAAAAATTAAATTTTATTAATTATGATATATGATAACTTAATAATAATAATATATTAATATACTATATTAGTAATATACTAATATATATATATATTATATATTTATATAATCTAAGTTATATAATTAATATAATATATTATTTATATATATTAATATTAGAGATGTCAAACTGACTCTTCGTTCGCGAACAACTCGTGTTCGGCTAATTTGTTAGGAAACGAACACGAACAGTGACTTCACGAACAATTTCGAACATGAGCTTATTTCAAATAACTAAATTTCAAACGAACCGAACACGAACACAAGCTTTGTTCGTTCATGTTCGGTTTGGTTACACCCCTACCCAAGCAACATGTTGAGGTTTATGTAAGTTATATTTGAATTCCTTGGCATGGAGTTAGAACCAAGGCAAAGACACTTTTATCATATCCGACTTAGTTAGCAGTTTAATTGAGTCATGTTGAGCTTGACTAGATCAATTTCACTTGAGCTAGAGGAGCTTGACATGTTTATATATAGCTCTTGAAATTCCACAGTGATATTAAGTGAGCTCTTTGGTCCTAGGACAAACTCCCAACTTGTGATGATTGAAGGAGTTGATTGTTAAAAAGTATGGAGGAGTAGAGGAGGAGATGAAGGAGGTTACCTCAATGTGCGGCATACTGCAGTTGGATTCAATTGATCTCAATGAAAAATGCTATAAAGTTGAAATTTTTCATTGTAGAAACGACAAAAAAGATCGACAAAATTGAAGACTACATCATAAACATCTTTGGCTATTATTATATATTGGTCTAAGCTATCCAAAAAGAGGTAATTGTGGCAGCACCTGTGATGGAGGGCTGTTGAAGAAGAGGAGATCATTATTGTTTTTTTAATTTTTTTAAGTATCTTTTGTAATTTAATATTTATGAGCATATCATTTTGTATGACATTATGATCTTAAACAAGTCGGCTCAATGAGCTAATGAATTGACTCATACTTTGCTTAGGTCAATTTTATAAAATGTCATAATACTGTTCAACATGTCTGGCATAACTTCTAAATGAGAATAATGAAATATATATTTGATGGTGATTTCATTGATGTCTCATTTATTTATACGCACAATCAACTTTCATTTTTCTTAGGTGTAAACAAGCATGTACAACACAAGTACACATACTTTCTTTAATACACTCCTTCTTGCTAGCTCATTAATTTGTTTTTTTGACCAACGATGAGCTGTGAACTAAATGAGTAATATTAAATTTAAACCATTCTCTTGGCGATGGTAATATTAATAAAAATTTTATTAGGATGCATATTTTTAAATTTATTCCATTCATGTATAACATAAACCAACATAGTCACAACTACATGCTTTACATTGTTTAACTAACTATTAAGCCATATATCACACTCTCCTATATCTTCTCTTTCTGAAATGCATTTTTCCTCTTCATTGGTGGCACCTGACTCTTGTGCTAATTTAGATTTACCTTAGATTTTGTCAGATTTATAAATATCCTTCTCGTTTTAGTCTTGAAAGCGCATATATTTGATCATTTTAAATGAGTAATATCTATAACATATAATCCTGGTTTAGTGAGAAGCGTCCATGGATAGCACATTGCATTGGTTCTACCAATATAGGTAGCTAATTAAATTAGAACTAGACATTTTTGAGATGTTTTATCTACTTGAACTTCCTTATTGTATTGAACTTGTTTCTTTTTAATTGTGGTTCATATTTCAAATTTATGCAGTCTTAAGGAATTCGTCGAGGCAACTTTATAAAGTTCTTACAATGAATTATAAGCTTAAGATGCTTCTTCCCATATTTAAAGTAATTTTGAAAACTGCAATTCTCTTTCAATCAGATTCAACTTTCGGAGTACTATGTTGCATTGAATTACAAGAATTATCACCTAAAATACTCTCAAAATCGCTAATTTCTTCTTCAAACTCATGAACATTATTAGAATTATTAGTTTCATTTTCTGTTAGTTTTGCTAAAAGCAGGCCTATATGCATATGTAATTGATTTCCCCTTAGTATCTTTGGTAATTGTAATGTTTCCATTAGAGAAAATAGGTGCCATGGATTAAGCTTGATTGCTTCAATGAAAGGATGCACTGCTTGCATAAGTAAAAATCTTCACAGATGGTTTAAAGATTAGTGTTTGTTCAAAGTTTAATGCAAATTGAAAATCATTTACGGGCGATGGAATGTGGTTGGTTTCATCTCTCTTGATACCTGAAAAGAAGAGTGATTTTAGGATAAATGATCTCATAACACCGTAATAACTCTTTCAAATTTTCATATATTTAATTCAATTTTAGTCCATTCCTTATTGAACTAAATTTATCAAGCAAACAACCTCGTTATGACAAAGGCCAATATTTTCTTTTAAGAGTTATTGTAACCCCCATGTGGCAGTAAGTCACATCTCGCACCTACCTCTCATTATCTTTTATACCTTTCAAATCATACTTTTCATACATCAAACATTGTTTGATATTCAAAGATATTATATGCATCAAGCAATCAATTAGTAGAAGCTATAGGATTAATTCTATTATTATCTGTAAATACTTATACTTTACTTTTTCTAGTTATAGATTTAATAATGTCAAGTTTTGACTTGATTTTATAATGCATCTTTGTTAAAGGCTTTGTGCATTATCTATCAAGACAATTTTCCTGTCTCACACCAGAATTAGAATTCAAATGAATTGTTTCATCATTATAATTAGAATCCACCTCTGGTTCGTGCACATGAACTTGATTAGCTTCTGAATTCTCAATTCTTGCTTAAACAAATTAATGTCATCACAAATTTGATTTTATTTGTTTGAAAAATTTAATCGATCCTTTTGCAATGTTATCAAAACTCCATCCCTTTCACGCTTTCTTAAACTGCTTTGATGATTTGTTCTGCTGCTAGATGATATTATGATGGATCCTAAAATATCTTTTACCAAAATGTTGCCGTCTAACTTATGGTTAGGCTTGTATAATGTAACTAGTACAATGCATAAAATGAGTCCATCTGCAGAAAAATGGAGAATTCATAAATCATAAGCCACCAATTAATTTAGTAAGTTACTTTTGTTAAATGTAAACAAAAATAAATTAATAATGTAATGATTGGAATAATTCAAGAATTTCAGCAATAAATTTGAATCATATTAAATCATTGAGGACAATTAATTGATTTGCCATTTTTTTTATCAAAATTTATAGCAATAAGGAAGCTAATGTCAAATAACGTAGATAAAAATAAAACAATGAATGAAAATTTTGAAGAAAAATTAGATCTATGATTAGTACAAGGAAATGACTTCTGTTGAATAAATGTAGTCTTCTACAACTTTTGAAAGATTCATGCATTGAACTTGCTTGTAATATATTGAAATTGAATAGAAAAATTTTATTCAAGTTAAAATTATCAGTTAAGTACCTCGGAACAACTATTTATAAACTCTATTAACCTATTTAGTAGATATAATTTGGCATAAAATATCTCAATTAAAATTTATATTAATTCCAAATTAATTCTTGTCACAAGTTAAAATTTGCAAAAGATGAAAAATTAGAAATACTATCCATATAAAACAACCAGAAACTTTATTATTCACACATGATAACCCACAAGAGAAACCACTTCCACGGTTCCACCCATTATGGTATTCTTTTTAGTATATATATTCCAGACACCTTGAATTACATTCAATATTACACTAGGCGATACAAAGAAGTGGGTTCATGGCTGGACGTAAACCCAAAACCCACCGCTAAATGGACTTACCGTATCACAAGGTTAAATCCAAATCATTAACTACTAAAACTCTTCTACAACTTCATCAAAATATTTCCAACTTAAAAAATTAAATCCTTCAATTGTCATCTGTCTACAAATCAAAAGACATTTGGTAGAAATCAACCTAAATTTTAAAACTTGGCCGAACCAAATAAACTAAGCTGAAGTTGGAAATTAAATAAAACTTCTCTCAGCCATCGTCATTGGCTTGTTCTTTATTATTGAAATACAAAGAGATACCAACAAATATAAATTAACAAATAAATTGTGCATAGATTATTCATTGCCTTTGATGAGGATAAAGACAAAGGTGTTCATCAAAATTTCAAACTTGTTCCAGTAATTTTTACTTCTATCGGTATACTTTTCTATGGATGTTTACATAAGCACATGCGTGGATATGTGTCTATGCAATTGATTTATCTCCAAGAGTAGCGGTTATCTCTTTTTGCTAATAATTAAACTTTGTAAGTAGAATTATTCAAAATTTGTTCTATGTAACTACTTATGCGTTAAAAATAATATGAACTCAATATATTTTATATGGTATGAGGTTTTATGCATTCCTATATTTACCTTATTCTGTAATTGAGCCTGAACAAGATAAGTTAGGGATTGTTTGCTTTGCCAAGTATTTTGCATGTCTTCAGGTGTTGTACGCGTTTATTATTGTAAAATATGTAGTTCTTATTTAGTTTACCTATATATTTTGCATCTTTTCTTCAACATTTTTTTTCATAACGTGGAACAATCACATTAGGCTTCACTTGTGGACTTGCTATAAACAATCTGACAAATTAATCACCAGGAATTAATAGTTGAAAGGTATGCTTAATTTGCATCAAGTATTTTGCATGCTTTGAAAAAAAAAAAAATTTTAATTCATCCTGAGGTGTTTTTGGCATACAAAAGTTTTTCATCTTAACCTTAGACCTTTTTTTTATCACTTCCATATCTTTTATTTTATGGCCAGCTGTTGAAAAGGCTATACTGCATTTTTTATTGCAATTTCTTCTTTCAGGGTCCATTTTTTTCTTGAAGTTAGAAGACACGTCTTGAAAAAAAAAAGATGAATTTAGTAGACTGCATTAGTTCAAATCAGCATTTGTTTTGAACTTAATAAATGTTTTTAGAACATTTCCAATTGGCTGATTTCAATTTCACCCTGGAAATGAGCCCTTTAAAACAATTAAATTCAACAGAAAAGGTGCATTTTTATTGCAAACTATTTCTAAAATATTTAAAAAGCAGGCAAAATTATCTGCTTCCTTAAAAACTTTGTCTAATTAAAGAACATTGCAAGTACTGTAAAACCTAACATAGTTGGAGCATAAATATTTATTTGTTTGTCTTTAGTTTATGATAGAGGTTGCGAGGAGGCTGGCATTATGATACTCACTTTTATAATCCTTGCGTTTCAATGGTTTGTATTTCTATTAGAGGGTGTTCCATTATAGCTTAGGAATATATATCTAATATTTTCGCCACCTATAGTTTGAATATTATGCAGCAGGTCATAATAACCTTGTTTGCCATGTATACAGTATATTATGCAGCAGGTCATAATAACCTTGTTTGCCATGTATACAGTATCTCGAGCACTTTTGATTGCTAGAGCACCATCTGCTGCTGATGTTGCTGGACACCCCCTTGTTAAGGTGCATCAACGAATTAATGTAGTACCCGAAATATGCTTCTGGGCTTACTATTTTTTTTATGATAATCCCTCATGTATATCCCCCTATTCTCAATGCAGGATCCTTATGATATGGCACATGAGGTGGAAAGGAAGCGTGCACTCTCTGCTATTTTATCTCGAACAAAACAGCAGGAGATTAAGGATATTGAGGTGCCAATCTTTATTCACCATATGCTTATCCATAGTAATTTTGGGTGCATTTATGCAACTGATCAGAAAATTTGCTTCTTTTAGTAAATTCCATTTTTTCAATGTTAAAATAACATTCCTTCATTTTTTTGTTAACTTTGGCTTAATTCATATTACCGGAGTAATAACTCTTGTTGTTTGTGTTTTAGATCCTTTCTGAAGCCAAGCGCATAACGGAGTCTCGCATTGCTAGCAAAGTATGTTTCTTTTTCTATTTTAATTTTCTTATTCTTTCACTACTCAAGAAGGCCTGCATTTGCAATAAGGCTCATGCAGTCGGTGTACCCTAAATGTGGCCGTAGAAAGTGAAATCGACTTATTACAATGCTTGGAAATCAAACTGAGAATATCAAAGCTGATCATCCTTGTGGGCATTGTTCTTTTTTTATAGGTTCCGTAATGTTTGACCACAATCATCTATTTTCTTGGTTATCTGTGCAACTATCGTTTGAAATATATTGTTAATCACTTCCAGGCTAGTTTAAATTTTATTTGTGATCTTGCGAAGACCTGTCTAAGACTCTGCTTTTAAAAAGTGTGCCAGCAGGGTAAAGCCTATCTAACCTTTAGTAGAAGTTTTTCATGGTCTACACTGTTAGATACAAGGCATTGGTAATTCAGCCAAATGAAATATGATTTTCCAAGTTACTACATGTGACAATCAAACTGGGAGTTTTAGCGGCTGAACATTCCAATGCTAGTTGTTTTGGTATTATAGATTCCATGCATGCTCTATCTCTTTTAGCTTACTTTAAATTTTGTTTCATTTTCCAGCCATTAGTGGCTTTTCCTTCAATAGCATTTATCTCATTATACACATATTTTTATTTATATATGGACTACAGTCCTCTTAAGAACATGTACAGGGTTGTGCTTTTAACGAGGGAGCTAAACAAGGCTATTAGATGGGTAAGAAGATTTTAATGGATGCAGAAAATGTGACCCACAGCCTATCAATAGTTATTAGCTTTTTTCTTATCGCACCAGTTTGCTGTTGTGAGCTGATTACCCTTCTGGTATTCCGTGCAATGGAAAGCTCTATATCCTGAATTGTTCAATTCCTTTTGCGACAGTTCATACATAGAAATTGCTTGATTTTCTAGTTATTCTCCTTTCCAAGTCAGGTTTTTTTAATAGTATGTATCCAAATTGAAGCCAAGACACGCATTTTGTGCTCTTGTCCATGAGTTGGATAGACTGGATAGACTCGAGAAAATTTGATGAGAATATGGTATGTGAAATCGTGCATGTGCTGCATTGATCTTATCTGTTTTCTTCAAGGTGCTAGGAGTTTTAGTGTTCTACCGTTGGCCTAAAGCTCTTCCTCATTTACTATGGCCCTAGGATATGATGATAGAATTTGTTAGTAGTGCAATTGTCATTATTTCAAGATAGATTTTTAAGAGAGGCAAATTGGATTTTTTTAGTCTAATAAAACCTGTTGTGTTTAAGATCGTGATACAAATGGAGATGAATTTTCATTCAAAACTAGGGCAAAAAAAATTATTTACTTCATCAACACAAAATAACACAACTCAAATGCATAAAAGATAAGCACCTAACAATTTGAGGGGTAGAAAATTTCTCCCAAACCCTAACTCTAACCCTAACTTCTACAATTCGAAAGGTAGGCATTCTCTCCCAACCCTAACCCTAGGATTGAAGACAATAATCTCATTATTCCCTTACCCTAGCATATTAAGCCCTATTTATACCAAATAATAATAAATAATAGAAACTAAATAGTTCGTAGGTTTCATTCTAACAGATTACTTGCTCCATTACGAGGTTTGTTGTAGGTGTTTTAGGAGAGCCAAGAACTAAACAGATTGAATGCTAACAAGGAGACTTAGTGGTGAGTGAGGTAATATAAAGTGCTATCGACAAAATAATTGAACTTTTAAAAATAGCAAAAATTGAACTATGCTTATGCTTATTATTGCTATTATTTGAAAGCTAAAAAGTCTGTAAAGAAGATAATGATTAAAATAAAATATATAACTTTTGATGGTCTGTATGGTAGTACTAATACCAATTAAAGATGGTGATGATAATGATTAATGTAAGAGCAATAGATCTGAGGATTTTGATTAAGTTAGATGCATGATGTTAGTTAAAGATGAAAATATCAAGGAAAGATAAAAAATAATAATTTAAGAAATTACTAAATGACAGATTTAAAGAAGTTATTTTTGAGAAGCATAACATTTAATATAGTGAAGTGTATTATAACTTAATCTAAAAAAAAAAAATGAAGTGAAGTTTGCTCCAAAAAACTGCATAAAGGCTTTAGGTTAAGATGAGATATCACTATTGAAATTCAGAGTTATCGGAGATATTGTGGTGGTTTAATTAATAAAAATTTCTATTAGAATTTTAAAGATGAAGATTGCCAAATGATTTGAGGAGAAATATTTTGGTACCAATATTTAAGGAGAAGATATTTAAGATTAGGTTAAGTATATAAGAATCAAAATCATGAGTCATGCAATGGAGCCAAAGGAGCTAGTAATGTAACCATAAGCTTGTTGTATCAAATATGGAGAACCAATTTGATTTCATGTCTGGAAAATCTTTCATGGAATCCATATATTTGTTGAATAATTTCACATAGAAGTGTAGAGTATGAATGATGGTTTTTCATATGATTTTTATTAATCCTGAGAAAGTATAAGTACCACAAAATTTAGTTTAGCGTGATTTTAATCACAGTGTGCTAAATATTTGTTGACATTATTGAAGTTATGCTTGCTGGAGCATTCATTAATACTAGTAGTTGTCGAGTGACCCAAGAGTTACATTAAGTCTATATCTTTTTTATTGGTTATAGAATGCCTAAAAAAGACATTTAAAGAGGTGTTAGTGTATGCCTTTTACAAATGTTACAGTGAGATATTCATCAGAATCACTGAAAAATTAGAATAGTGGAGGGCATGTTTAGAAGATAGAGATTATATAGTTTATAAAATGACCGTGTATATGATATATATTTTGAGAGGGCATGATGGTAATAATTATCATTCAATTGATATTTTATATATATATATATATATATATATATATTGTGTGTGTTTGTGTGTGTGAATTTTTTAAACTCACAAATAGAACAATGATGTATTTTTAATCAGATATTTGAGAAAAAGTCGAGTGTTGTAGAAATGAAAATGTTAAGGTTTTTACATGGCAAAACTAAGAAGAATGAATTAATATATTCTAGAAAAGTTTAGAGTTGGAGTGACATATATTGAAAGGAAGGCGATTAAAATAGACTTAGGTGATTTGAACATGTAAAATAAATGATAGACAATGTATTAGTTAGACTAGTTGATAAAATTTGTGTCATATTAGGAAGGAAATAAAGTAGTCGGAAGATTACAATGATAGACTTTGTCCAAAATGAATTACGAAGAATATGCTAAAGAAGTTAGACAACACTTAACAATGTTGAATGAAAAATGAGAATCTACAATGTCAATCTCGAATGATGATGAAAGTATGTTCTATTGTTTGGCTATTGCACATTGTTAATAACAAATGAGTTTGTTATATATTTAAAACTATAGAACTTTAAACTTGTCATATATTTAAAACTAAACAATGAGTTTGTTATTACTATATTCATGATATTTCAGGATCGGTGCAGGGATTCTGATTCCTTTCATATATTTCCACATCTTATTCATATTTTTTCACATTCACGATATTTCAGGATCGGTGCAAATATGATCGGTGCAAATATTCCGATTCCTTTCATATATTTTCATATTCTATTCATATATTTTCCACATTCACGATAATTTAGGATCAGTATAAGGATTTTGATTTCTTCCATATATTTCCACGTCCTACCCATATATTTTTCCTCATTCACGATATTTTAGGTTCGGTGCAAGGATTCTGATTCCTTCCATATATTTTCATATTCTATCCACATATTTTTCAATATTCATGATATTTCATGATCGATGCAGGGATTCCGATTCCTTTCATATATTTACATTGTCCATGCATATACTCTACAATATTTACGATATTTCAGGATCAGTACAGGGATTCTGATTTATTCCACATATATAGATTATTTGGAATAGACTTAGCCCTACTTCTTTCTCAACATATATATACATTTTTTGGTTTAGGTTTAATCCTGATTTTTTCCTCCACATTCTTTGATAGTATAGTCAAATTTTTGAATCTTTCCTTTCCACATATTTCGAAAATCATTTGAAAATTCAAATCCACGACAACAGTTGAAAATATATCTGCCAATCCCCAACGAAAATCCTACTTCACCTCAAATTCAAATTCGGTCTTCGATTTGTTCTAATTATGATTACTTGGACATTCTTTTGAATTGTGTTGATCATTTTGGTCAACGCCAATAGGTGTGGCGTGCTTGCGCAACACACCACACCAGTTGGGGGTCCATTTGTTGACCTCAAGTTTGAAGTATTTCTTTCCTTCTTCCAGAGCTTAAAATCTAGTCCTAGGGTTTCCTATTTGACTCTCTTAGAGGACTAGACTAGGACACACACCACATAGAAATTTGAGCCATTTTTTCGCTCTTTGAAGTTTAATATGGACTGTTTCAAATTCTCGACATTCGATTGAGTCGATTGAAAAGCCGATATATTTAAGCTCAAATTGAGCTCTTATAGGAACTTCAAAGACATAGGTGGACCACACGACGTTTGACTCACCGCCGTGAACGGTCTATTTAACTTTAGCCGTCGTTCATGCGAGGACCGGTCAACGATATTTGTTAAACGATTTCACACGGATCGAAATAACTTCATTTCTCGCAATGCGCAAAAATTGGAGTTAATTGGATGTGATCATCGACAAATTTGCCCGAACAACTCCAGATAACGAAACGGACTCTGTCGGCGCTTCCGGAACGTCAAAATTACCTAAAAATGACACTTATTTTGATAAGGTTTCGTGTGGGACCAAATTTTGATTAAATCGACAATTTGACAGGAAATAATAATGTTAATAAAAATAATAATAAAATATATAATAATAAGGTGATTCGCCCCCTTCCCCCCATTTGAAACCCTAGAACGAGGACGAAAACTTATTTCGCAAGAACCGAGCCCCTCTTCTCTCCTATTCGCAACCAGGTGAGATCTTCCCCTCCCTATTTTGCATGTCTCCTCTTCCCCAACAACCCTAAGCGAACCTCGTGAGAGAGTGT